CATCTTACAGCCCTAGATGGCTAATTTAATATAAGTTTAAATTTAAAATTAAAAATGATTAAGATTCATAGGTTTAACAAATATATAGAAAATATACAAAAAATATAAAACTAAATGATAATAAAAAGCATGCAAGTTAACTGTAAGATAATTTCCATGCATTGAACAAGCATTCTGCATTGTGAAATATCTGTCCAATGCATCAGAAGTTATTAAAAATACACAAACACAGCATGAGAGATAGCTCTCATTGTAATGTGGAATACTACATATGGAAGTTATTATATAGTTAACCTACACAATTCAATAATGATTAAAGAAATAAAATATAAACTGAATACAGTATTTGTTATTTATTTTTATTTTGTTCGTGTATTTTATATTTTTTAAATCTATAAATTCATTCTACTAATCAATTTTAAATTAATACATGTGTAAATTCAATTTTGCATATGACATTTTACCACGTATAATGTTCATTTTGTTTTTGTTCTGTATATCAAATCTAAAAGATTTGATAAATGTGTCCAAGATTTTTTTAATGCTTGTTGGAATAAAGGTTATTGCTTACTTTAAAACAAATCTAAACTTTATAAGAAAAACTTAATTTATGAAACTACAGTTTCACTGATTTGTTGAAGGTGAAACAGAATGAAAAAGATATAAGATAAATACAACACAGTCAAATAAGGCACACAAAATAAATAAAGATAAAAAGTAATAAGATTTATTATCATCCTGAAATCTTCCAATCTTTTAGAAGTCATGTTTTAATAAAACTATATAATTGAACCTCATAGTAAGCTACAGATTGAAAAAAAATTCATTCCACTAACTAACTTCTAAGGAGCAAAAAAATTGAAATTCATACAAAATTTGAAAATTATTTTTCCTAAAATAAATCTAGAATTGTAAAAAAACATCTTTATTTAAAATTATTTCTTTTTCTAGTTTTGAACAACCATAACATATTGAATGACGTTAAAATTGGTATTCAATATATCAATAACTATACAATTTCACTCATAGGTTAACAGTAATATATTGAGCAATTTTTTAAAATTTATATTGTAGCACTGTTAAATTATTATTTTTTTTTAAGTATGAAATATTTTAAATAATAAATAAATACAAAAGAACTTAGTTTAGTTCAATTTTATATATTTACTTTTAAAGGTATGGTAACTGTGTTGTAATAAACATATTTAATAAGTCAACTTATAAATGGAAAAGCATAGATGTATAGCATGTTTTTTGATACTTTAAAGTCAAACAATTGCTGGATTATATCTGGCTATATTAATGCTATTATTAATAATTAAATATAGCTCAATATAATTTGGCTTTAAATTAATAATTGGGTTTTTAGATGTTTATATTTGTATATGGTGCTTTTAAGCAATATATACATAAATTTTGTAAAATGTATTTCTAATCGAAAAACCTAATTGTTAGATTTTATTGAGTTATTTTTGGGCTATTGATGCAAAGTATACATAATGTATAACTTAGCCTACAAGTAAACAGAATATCTGGCAATTAGTTATTTGTGTGAGAACTCATGGTGAGAAGCTGGTTAAAGACCCAAACTCCTAATACCTGATGTGAGATTGGGACTGCGGGACCATTCACCTTGTCAGTGAGTAGTTAAAATTTTATAGAACAGGAAGATCTTTGGGATCATCTTGTTGTTGAGGATTCCTGACACTAGTTAGGATGAAAGAATTATCATGTACTAATTCACAATAAAAGAACAATCCATCTTAATTTTTTATAATCTGAGGGGATTATGTCGAGTGGAGGAGGGATTGTGTCAATTCGGGAAATGGAAGTAGGACCAAAACTTACCCAGATTTGATATAAAATATAGTTAAACTATAAAATATACATAGAATATATATATATAAACTGCATACAATATAAGTTCAATCTAATCGAAGATTCAAATATAATCAAGCTAACTAACTATGTAAATATTTTGGGATACTATTACTGAATGAGAGAGCTTACATAAATTATTATACTACCTGGGAGTATTGTGAGAACCTTTATCTTCTTGTTACATTCTTCCTTCAAAGAGTCTGTATATTCAGTTGAAGTGAGAACTACCTCAAGGGCCTACATCTTACAGCCCTAGATGGCTAATAACATGTTGACTATGACTAAAAGCAAATATGGAGGGTGGTCTCCACCTTTTATAAGAAAATGGAGACCAATCAAATTTGTTCCTGATTCAGTCATTCTCTGCTAAACTTTCCTTTTAGCAGGAACATTCAACATCATCTGAATCATAAGAAACAAAGGAGAAATGTTGAAAATAGATAAAATTTTGTCTTTCTTTCAATTTCTAAAATTCATTTGATTTTCTACAAAATTTTATAATTCTTTTTAACCTTNATGGAAGTAGGCCCAAAACTAACCCAGATTTGATATAAAATATAGTTAAACTATAAAATATACATAGAATATATATATAAAGTGCATACAATATAAGTTCAATCTAATCGAAGATTCAAATATAATCAAGCTAACTACTATCTAAATATTTTGGGGTACTATTACTGAATGAGAGAGCTTACATAAATTATTATACTACCTTGGAGTATTGTGAGAACCTTTATCTTCTTGTTATATTCTTCCTTCAAAGAGCCTGTATATTCAGTTGAAGTGAGAACTACCTCAAGGGACTACATCTTACAGCCCTAGATGGCTAATAGCATGTTGACTATGACTAAAAGCAAATATGGAGGGTGATCTCCATCTTTTATAAGAAAATGGAGACCAATCAAATTTGTTCCTGACTCAGTCATTCTCTGCTAAACTTTCCTTTTAGCAGGAACATTCAACATCATCTGAATCATAAGAAACAAAGGACAGATGTTGAAAATAGATAAAATTTTGTCTCTTTCAATTTCTAAAATTCATTTGATTTTCTACAAAATTTTATAATTCTTTTTAACCTTTAAACTGTTCCTAATCTCCAGGTTCTCACATTTGAATTAATAAATTGGGCTTGATGATTATTTATAAAATTAAAATAAATAACTATATATGTTTAACTTAAGTTTAAAACCTAAAGCCAATACTTATTGACTACTTATCAATATTATAAGGCGCGTTTACTAATTACCATACTATTGAATGTGTTTTGTCACTTCCACTTGAATTTTCTTTTATAAAAATCTGAAGCCAAAGTAAGTTATTTCAAAAATATTTACATTGAAAATAAACTAAATTAGTCTACTTCATTAAAAAAAAAAAAAACAATTATAAGAGTTTAAAGATTAAAAAATCATTTGTAATTTGTAAGGGATTACTTTAAAAAATATATTTAATAACACTCTTATTTGTAATAGAATAAGTCAACTGGAAAGATTTGAAAGCAAATTAGAAAAAAAGATAACAGTTGTAACAAATCAATAATAAAATACCAATTACATGAACTCAAACCAATTCTTTAGAAACTAATTGAATATCTTCCATAATGAATCAATCTAACTTGGCAATTGTCATAAATTAGTTCAAGTAACAGAATATTAAGTTGGCATTCCAAAAGTTTGAATATGAATCCAAAACTTAATGGCTGTCTTTCCCATCCTTGAGTTTTATATAATAATCTCTCTTATCTTTTATATACTATTCTTTTATACATAAATAACAATCTATAGGTCTTAAAATTAGAATTTTCAATGTATTCAAATACTAATGAAAATTTTTGCTGATTATTGACACTATTATAATTAAAAGTTTAGTAAATTTTTTCATATAATTTAAGCATATAGTACATTGTGAATCTTCTATGCTAAAATTTTGCACATATGTCCTATTTATCCTCAAGTAAAATAAACTTACACTTATAATAAATAGACAACAAAAGTAGGTATTAAAAAAGTTATATTTTTCAAAGACTTTTTATTTCAATCCTCTAAATGTTAATGTGTAATTATATCTTCAAAAAGTATCCATAATTTCACTTAATAAGCAACTGAATTTATTCTCACATTTAAATAACTAGCTATTGTAAGAAATTAGCTAAAGACAGAACATAGGTATAAACTACCTGACATTAAATTAAATTTTTAGAAATTTAATGCTTTCATTTTTTTCCTTATACTTGTATGATTGATACAGTGTCAAATTTCGTGAATTTGTAAGTAATCATTTAAGAACTGAGTTTTATTTAATGAACTTAAAAATTGTTTTATTAGAGCTTATTATGTTTATTACATATGGTTAATTTTTTGGTGAGTTAGAAAAGCTAAAAAATTTTAATAAAATTCTGTTTTTATTTAATGAACAAATCTTTAAAATTACAAGTCAGGTTAGCAATGTTGAAATAAAACTAGATAATGATTAGATACACACTTATTACCTCATATCATTATATGTGTGTTAAATTTCTTTAATCATTTGGACATTACAAAATATCATCATAGTATTAGATCTTACATCTTTAAATCATTTGATTATTAAAGTTACTGATAGGTATTGACTAAATTTACCTAGTGACAAATTATTAGTTTCTGTATTAGGCTAAATATAGGATGGAAAGAATCTAATAATCTTTTAACAGTTGAAATTGTACCAAGAATTTTAAAAATATATTACTTTTTCTCATATTTTGCAAATTTGAATAATCTAATAAAATAATTTTAATTTCTCTCAACACTTTGTTAGATTATTTTATATCATTTTTTCAACTTTTGATGATAATAAAATTTTATTGCTTTTAAATATAATATCAAAAATTTTAAATATAATTTTTGGAAGTTTTATTTTTAAATGCACATTTTAATTAATTAATGTTCTAATAAATAAATATGCTATATAAATGAAAAAAAATGAATCACTCTCTGGCATTATAATTTAAATTATATAAAAATTGTCTTGTTTCTTATACTAGTTCTTTTCTTATGCACTACTTTTAATTTCAAAAAGTTATTTATTGTTTTGACACATTGCTTTTCAAGAAAAACTATGAATTAAAAATTCTCAATATTTAAAATTTTTTTCATAGTTTTTCATAGTCATACAATGCCAAAAAATATTAATCTGTTTTCATTGTCAAACAGCACAAAAAGGTCCTTTAACTTTAATTTTTTTTTCTAATATTTAAACATCATATTCCATACTAAATGTATAAATCATGTTATTTATACACAATACACTAGTATTGTGTATAAATAACATGATTTACAAAAAATATAAACCAAGTAATTATAAAATTTCTTACATGTAAGATTGTAAAATGTATTGATTCTTGTGTAAACATTTACTTTTTGCAAGTTATTATTTGATCATCTTAGTAATACCTCAAACTGTTCAATGAGCAAAGCAATTTTTGAGGATTGCTCCATTATATAAGATATAAAAAGAAATATTCAAAATGTCAAACATCCAAAATAAATATTTTAATTACAGATAAAATAGAATCAATAGAAATAATAGTTTCCATTACTAAATCAGTATAATAAACTAGTTCTTAATTTAATCATACCATTAATTCTGAAACAAATTAACTGAAACAAATCTTTTAAAGAAATATTTTCCATTTTTATATCTTATTTCTTTAATAAAATGGTCAAAAATTGTTATTCTAAAGATAAATTATAAAGTCACAAAGATTAAAATTTATATTGTTAACAGATATATCAATAGAAATAATCATAGAAAAAAGATAATCTAATCTATATATAAAAGAATGACTAGATTATAGTAAACTTATATAATGATAAATATTTTACACGTAATATAAAAAATACATATGTACAAATTGAAACCAATATAGATCTACTTAAACATTTTCATATAATAAATCCCTCAATGAAAGTAAATTATTACTAAGAAAAAATTAATACAACTTATTTTTAAATTCTAACTTTCTTACAATAATAAAATTAATTCAATTATATTTACATTTGAAACTTATTTATACATATGTATAAATGCAAACTAAAAGACTTGAAATATACACATACATGTGATGTTCATGTATTATACATTACAGTCAATATATCTGTTATATCTAATACTTTAACCGAACTGTAGGGAAGATTCTAGCTCCGAACAAGCAAATAAGAACCTCCCTATTATTTTCATTGTACAGTTAAACTCATAGCTGGATGCACAAAAGCTTACTAATAAAAAAAATGCACAAAAGTTCTAAAATATTTTTGCAAGATAAAATTTAAGTCTTGTTTTCATAGAATCTTAATGAACAGTATAACAATTATATCCTGTCTTCAAACATTTTTTTTTTAATAATATTTCCTTTCATTGTAAGTTAGTTTAAAATAAATAGGGTAAAAATTGTATAAAGTTCTGTTCAATGTAATTTAAAGTTAAGATAGTTACACGCTAAACTTAATAAATAAACATAAAATTACCTTTAAAAAGGATGTAGAATAGTAAAATTTCGTTGTAATACGGACCTGAAAAATCTGTAATAATAAAATATGTTAACGTTAATCTTAATAATTGAATAATCGTATAGAATGAAAATAGATTAATTACTATATTAATCGATAATTGTAGTTAATATATATTAAGAAAATTAGTAATAATTACAGGAAATGTTCCAGTTTTCTTATAGTGACAGGCGCACAGTTTGACTTTACTTCAGCTGATCCAAACGCATAAAGATGCCCCTTTGATTAAAATCGCGAACCACTTTGTGATTCGCTAATAGCGCCATCTCACCAACAGTGGAAATTTCCATCAGTTGCTTTCAATATCAAATTTCGCAAGATGATTCTGTATTCATTTTTTAATTATTATTTTGTTTTTTTAATAATCATACTCGAGTTTAAGCATAATAATCTGATGACTTTTTTTTGTTTTGCCATAAATTAATTTCCTGTATATTTATTTAAGTAAGTTAATTCTTGTAATATGCTAGTTCGTTAGGCCCTCGATTAACGGATTATTCGGGGAAGAATTGTCTACTATTGCCGAAAGTTCGTTAAATCGAATGCATTTTAAATGCAATGTCATTATAACATACAAATACGGGAAAATGTAATAAATAATTTTAAATTTTTCCTTTAGGACAGAATTTTCCCTCGTTAAATCAGAATTCCGTTAAAACGGGGTCTGTTAAATCGAGGACCGACTGTATATAAAAATTGTTCTGTTCCGGGTGTAAAAAAATCGCGAATTAATAGTCCCGTTTTGATGTATAAGTTCTTACATTATTAATAAAAAAGTAAAATTAATGTAATCATCAATTTAAATTCTATATTAATGTATTAGAAAAAAATTCTGTGTATATTTAGAATAATAATTGTATTATTGGAATATAAGACACTAATTTTATGATTATTAATGAATATGCTTATGTTATTTATGGTCATAAATAGTAAATGAATAATAAACAGTGAACATAGAAGCTGAACTTTAATTAATAATACATATAATTAGAAAATGGTTATATTTTTTAGATTAATGGAAGCAAAACAGTATAAAACTATGTATATGATTTTTAAGATCTTGTATTTTTAATATTATATGCCACTTTTTTTGGTTTATCTNAGTATTTTAAAATTGATACAGATACGAAATTTAGAGTTAATTTGGAAAATAAAATGTATGCATTATGCAGAATAAACTACCTTGAAAATTAATTAAATAAAACATTTTTCATTATTCTCTGAAAATAGATGCTTGGGTGTGGTTATTGATAATTCTGAAAAATATGTAAAGTATAATAAATTATGACGTTATATATTTTAGGCTTGTGTAGGTCCTATGTACAGAGCCTAAAAACAAAGCAACTATATCCTTTACACTCTGAAATCTCTTTTGATCAATGAATAAGTCTATAGA